TGTGTGTGTGCTATTTAACTTTTATTTCTTCATCTACAACTGAGTGAGATGTTTCTCACTCCCTTGTTATTTTTTTTGTATATGTTTAAATTTTTGTTGCAGGTGATCATCATCATGAGGATGTTGGTGATGAGGCCTAAAGGCTTCTTGGGGCATGCTCTGATAGGATGTGACATCGGGTTTAGCTAGGATTTCTCTTATGTCTTTCTTGTTCTAAAAATATTTTCTTTTCTTGTGTAATTTAATAAATTATAAATTGATTCCTAACTAGGAAGCACTGCCACCTTTACTGGGATTAATTTATAATCTTTGTTTTATAATAACTTCTTGAGTTTAATATTTATGTGTATGAATTATGAATGTGCATCTTCTACCTTATGATACTTATTATTTTATATCATTTTATGAAAATCTTTTATAAATATAGTTTATGTTTATTAATGTGTTGGGGTAGAGGGTGTCACACTTGGCATTTTGTTTGAGTAGAATTAGTCTAAATTAAGGTTAAAAGAACAAAGTAATATATATATTTCTATAATGAAATTATAAGCTTGCAAATTTAATTGGGATCTTGAAGGTCATAATTGGCTGACTCTGATTTTCCCTCCTTTTCACATCACCAAAGTGTGTGCATTAATGAGTAATGTGAGACAAGCCTTATTAACACACTACAAGAAAAATTGTAAATTATTGACAAATACAAATTCGTTAAGAAATTTATATTTTTAACGAATTTTACTGACTGAAAAAAAATTCATAGAAAAAGTTATATTACCGACAAATAATTTTTTATGGATATAAATATGTTGAAAATTTTATATTTTCGACAGATATATCCATCGATAATTTTCGACGAATACAAATCTGTCAGAAAATTTATATTTTTGACGGATATATTCGTCAAAAATTACCGACGAACATAAATGACAGAAAATTTATATTTTCGATGGAAAAAAAATTCATAGAAAAATTATATTATAGATGGAAAATTTTTGACAAATTTATATTTATTGAAAATGTAAGAATTTTTGACGAAAATTGACAATCATATATTAAAAAATATCAATAAAATTTTAAATATCTATATATATATGAATATATATATATATATATATATATATATATATATATATATAGAGAGAGAGAGAGAGAGAGAGGATAAGGATATGTATATGTATAGAGAGAGAGAGAGAGAGAGATGAGGAATCAAATGACTCACAAAGTAACCTTTGGTAAAGCTACTCCGCTCAATGACTCATGGTGTATGTTCACTACTAGAATTTCTTTTATTACATGCAAATTTTCCTACGATATTTTCATAAAAATTCGCAGGAAACGTTGTTCTTACAAATTTTTCTGCGAAACTTTAACTGCAAGTAATACCTTCGTGGATAATATATTTTTGCGAATTTTAAAATTCACAGGAAATTTTCCTACAAAATTTCTTGCGAAAAAAATTTGCAAGAAAGTTTCCTGCAAAAAAAAATTTTCCAGGAAAGTTTTCTGCAAAAAAAAATTCGCAGGAAAGTTTCCTGCGAATTTTTTCGCAAGAAATTCTGTAGAAATATTTTTTACGAAAAAAATTAAAGAAATTACTATAAATTCTATCAATAATTATTCAACTTTCAAATGCCCACAATGAATTCATCCAAATCAACATGTGATACGTAATCTTTTAAATTATAAGATTGTAGATTATAAGTCTAACACTCAACCATACAAATCAACTTGTAAGGTAAGTGTTGCCCTAACTTATATACTCTTTAATTGTTTTATTTTCAATCGATGTGAGACTTGAAGTTTTTTTTAAATATTAAACTTATAAATTTAAATATTTTTTTTTATTTTTCCTGCGGATTAAAACCTGTAGGAAAAGTTATCTGCAAAATGTTTCTACCATTTAGTAAACATTACTTGCGAATTTATTTTTGCAAGAAAAATTGCAAGAAACAAAATGAAGTTCCTACAATATTTTCTGCAAAATTTCTATGATTATTAAAATTGTAGCAAAATTTGTAAGAAATATCTGTAAATTATTTTTCGCAAATAAATATCTACGAATATTTTTTTGCAGGAAAATTCGCAAAAAAAATTATGCGAATATTTTTTTGCAGGAAAATGACACTTTTCTAATAGTGGTTGAATTTCGTCGATCTAATTGTTAAATTAAAAGTTATTAAATTTTACTAATAATTAATATAGAAAAAAATTGATTTGCTTTGAAATAAATTATTTGCTAACAATATAGTTGAAAAATTAATTATTTTAAATTATTTAATTAGAATCTTATTGACAATTTACTATATGATTTTGATATTTTTGCATATCTAATATCTGATTTTAAATTTGATATGAAAATATTATGATATAATTAGATAAGATTTTAAATTAGTATTTTAATTATTAATGGTTGATAATTAGAAAATAAAACAAGGATAAATACATTTTTTAAATTTTATATCATAGATTTGAGATAAATAAATATATTAAGTTAATTAATAATTTATTTAAAATTTTAAAATTTAATTTATAAGTATGTAATAAATAAGTATTTATAATTTATAAATAATATTATCATTATAAATTATAAAAACTATATTTTAAAATATATAAATTATTATTTAAACTTTTAAATTTATAATAAATAATTTAAATTGTATCATAATATTAATTTTAAATAGAAATAAGTAGATTGTTAATTACAAAAGTAAGTACATATATAAATAAAAATTAATTAAATATAATATAATTATTATATATATTATTATATTTTTCTAACAGTCTGAGCACACCGAAATGAGAGGGATCCAGAGATAGTATAAGTATGAGATTGTATAGTTGAGGATGACTTAAATGAATTAATTTGTACTACCTATATTAACAACATACATCTATTTTTCGGTAGCTTATCTCATCAGAACTCCACAGTTAAGCGTTCTTGATTTTGGAATAATATAGGGATGGATTTAAGTTTCGTGAAATAGAATCATTAAGAGGCCAAATATAAGGGGTGTTACATTAATAAATTTATTAAAATTAAACAAATTTTTTTGACAGATTTATCCGTTAGAATCACATAAAGATTTTCAAACAATTTTTGACAGATGTATCTGTCAATAATTTTTGACGGATATTACCGATAGATGTATCCGTCAGAAATTTTTGACAGATTAAATTATTTTCGACGGATATTTTTTTTTTCTTCTGATGCCCATTTTTTATGAGGAATTTGCATCCGTTGGAAATAGAAAATTTTCGAAGGATATTCATTTTTACCAACAGATTTTATCCGTAAGATAATTATGTTTTTCTTGTAATGTAAGGTGCTTATATAGAAATACTAACCCTATCTTGCACGTAACTCATCGATAAAGCTAGTTATATTTGTCTTTTAAAGCTTAATTATCCATAATAAATATTTTAGAATAGTAACTCTTGTTTTCAAATACCGTTAATTAATTTAATTAACACCCTTTATTAATTTATTTCTACAAATTTGGGATGTTACACAAATAAAAAAGTGAAAATAATTTTATATATAAAGACAGAGGTAATAATTTAATTACTTTTTATTGATGTATTTATTTTTCTATATATAATTAAACAAAAGTAGTATTATTGACTTTAAGCAAGTTGACTTTAAATTTAAAGCCTTTACCAGAACAACACTCAATTTTATACCGAAAGCAAGAGCAATTCACACCAAACAGAAGCTTGAACTCAACTTTCAAAGCCATGCATGATAATCAATGTGAACCCAACATTGACGACTCCTTTATTCATATGATAGAATAGGGGGAATATCTCTCTACAAAGATAAGTAGAATTACAATACATATATCTATTAAGATAAAAATATATTTTAAATCCATTTAGAGCAACGAAGAGAACGCTGGCCTTCATCACCAAAATACACCCTACATGGTCCAGTTTGATGTATATACCAATGGCACTCTTCGCAATCATTATCATAAAACGGATAGTACATATTAAACGACTGAGAGGCACCTTTCCATTGAAAGGAACAAAGGAATGGTGGCTTGCTTGGTGAAACATAACCAGTATAAATCCATTCAAAGTATTGACCAGGTTTGATAAGGCGATGTGCAGCTTCAACATTGTTGCAACTAACGGTTAAGTCCAAATTTCCATCCAAAGAGTTCGTCACAACAATAAGGAGCCTGTCCACTGTCACAGCCATGCTTGCTGACGGAAAAACAAGCATGAAAACCCATAGGATGGTAACACTTCTTGCAATTAAAGACATCGTTTGCACCTTTTGTCAATCCTTTAATTTGTTTTAGTGAACCAACTTTTCAGAAATACATATTTGTGAGAGGTTTTTATAGTTTAAGTTTATTAATACGATGATTTGCTGTTAAAAAAAGGCCATTCAACGTTTACATTTATTTGTTAACATGAAAAAAAAAATTAATGTCAGTCAATGATATTTATGAGAAAAAACTCTTTCAACAGTTACAAGATTTTAAAAATTAAAAAAATAAATGATGTTTGACTAGATCAAATTTAATGTCCACTACAAAAACGTTTCAATTTAGAGTCGGCCAAAAATTGGCTCTAAAATAATAAAAATCGATATAATATTGTCAATCATTTGTCAATTTTTAGCATAAATATAATTAGTTGACACAATTTTTTTTTTGTGTCGACTAAGCCGTCAATAATAATTTTATTTATTTTAATTTTTTATTATCAGTTAAGCCGACATTATATCGACATAAAATTTATTTTATTTTTTTTATCTTCTTTTTTCAGCTTATCATTTATTCGTTCGTAATTTTAACATTCTCGAGACTCGATCTTGGAACTTTGACGTCTTAAGTGAACTTGATAAACAAGTGCACCACAACACATTATGCGTATATAAGATTGAAAAAATTATCTTTATCTCTCTCAAAGCACGTATACTGTCGGAAAAGTCGACGTTATTTTAAGATGTAACGTCAGCTTTTTCGATACTAAACTCAATTTAAATTTAGTGTAAAAAAAACCGACACTATATCTAAAAAAATAGCGTCGGCTTTTCCGACGCTAAACTAAATTAAGTTAGTGTTAGAAAAGCTAACACTATATTTAAAGAATAACGTCGTCTTTTCTAACACTAAACTCAATTTAAATTTAGTGTCGAAAAAGTCGACGTTATATCTTAAAATAGTGTTAGCTTTTTTGACTGTATTTGCGTCAGCTATTAATCAACGCTTATTTTCCATAGCTATTTCCGTGTTTTCTTGTAGTGGTCATTCAAATGATATTTGTACTATAATTAAATGTGGAATAATTATAATGAATATTTTTGAAAACATTGATTAAATTAGATAGAAAAGAATATTTTATAAAAATATCAATATTTTTTATTGTGATATTTTATATAATTTTTTCATAGTTTTAATAACAAAAGAATATTCTACAATAATTAAGAAAGTTAACTAACATGATTAAATTTTACTTACCCCATTTAAAAAAAATTCCTTAAATTATTCCATTAGAATTTATATCAGGAATATAACAACTTTACCGAATTAAAAGTCAAGAATAACAAAGTTTCACTAATAAAAAATCTCAATTAATTGAAGATGTTTCATATGTGATTTTATTAAATAAAATGAAATAAATTAAGATTAGTTTCAATTTATTTATATTTTGAATCAACATATATAATTAAGAGTTTTTTTTTTTACTAGCTAAAAGTGATAAGTTCAAATGGTTTGATATTTGTGCTTCTTAATCAAGAATTGAAGTTGGATCTTCACCTTAAATATAAAAACGCCATTGGACATATCTCTTTACTCTTATAGGAGCACACTGATTGAGAATGAGTTATACCTCTTTATACAAAAGAAAAAAGAGATAATATGCCTTGAATATTTAACATTCAATACTTCATTTAATAAGCTAGCATATTAATAGAGAAAAGAAAGAAGTAAAAAATAGAAACAATGTATGGCCAATTTTTTTTACGAAAATTTTATATTAGAACAGGACATGACCTCTTATCAGGGTAAAATAAACCACTAACAGCTTTAAGAATTTTCAATAATTAAGAATATAAATCGTTTACTAATCCTCTAGCTTACTTTATATATATGGGAGTATTGAAAGAAAAAAATACATTTTCAAATTAAAAGTATTTTTTAATTAATATTCTTTGTCCAATTAATGTTTAAATGTAAACTAGTTAGTTGTAAGCGTGCAAGTGGTACATGTAACTTGGGAATTTGAATTGATTCAAACTAGTCCAATGTGTTTGGATTAGATTCTTTTTAGTGTTTGAGTTATACCCGATCCAATTCGATCAAAATCCAACACTATACAGGTTGGAGAATGAGTTTTGTATTTTTGACATGTGACTCAACTTGATTCGGTCATAAACACATGCTTAGGACAATATTTTCTGTCACTCTTGTTTAATAACAATTTGTTTTGATTTTTAGATTGATAGCATTGTAACAATACAATATATTTATTTTAAATTTTATTATATTAATATTGGTTGTTTGAGTCAATAACAATGTAATAAATGAATAAATTAATTTTGAAATTTAGTTTGTATCATTATTTGCTTTATAGGTTATAACATTGCATTTGTAATAAGATATCAAATAATTTACATTTATTATAAATTATTTAAAATTTTATAATAAATAAATAAATTTAATTATGTTGACCTAATTAACCCAATCCAATCTAATTCATTAGCGATTGGGTTGGGTTGTATTTAAAAAATATGCATAAACTCGATCCTATCTAATTAATTAAATTTTGATAAGAGAGGAAGAGATTGGGAGTGAGAGAGATAAAGAAAGAGAGAAGGAGAGATAAAGAGAGGGAGAAAGAGAAATAGAAGGGGAGAGAGAAGGAGAGGGAGAGAGGAAGACAAGGTAGTGGGAGTGAGAGAGAGAGAAAAAGAAATAGAAGAAGAGAGAGAAAGAGAAAGAGAGAGAGATTTTTTTTTGTTTTAAAAAGAGATACTGAGATTTTTTTATATTCATGAAACTTTTTTCTTAACTTAAAAAAGTTGGATTCCAACCTCTTACAAGAATGTTATTGTAAAAAAGTTTAATAAAAATGGTTCTCAAAAAATTATATCTCTGAATTTTTTTAAATAACTACTAAACATGAAAAATCAAGATTTTTGATTAAAGATTCTCAAGAATGTAAAAGTATTTTACGTGCCAAATTACCTTAAGAGATTTAGGCCCTCCAAAATGTTTGGTCTACCAAACAGAATGAACCTTTGTAATGGATTGTCCTAAACCCAATTAAAGGAGGTCTAAAATATTCAGACCATACATTAATAAGTTCCTAAACCCATCTTATAATACAATGGTTTTCATATACTGCATGTTGTGTGTGTCTTTATGTTTTACATGATGTTTTTGCATGTTGTGGGGGAAGTGTTAGTGATAAATTATAACCTCCGATTTAAGTTATGAGGTTATAACTTAAGTATGAGAAAAGATAATTAATTTTGTGAGAGTTTTAATTGGAGAAATATTCTAACCAACCAAGAGTTGCATGAAATATTTTAGAATAAATTTGTTGAGACGTCAAAATATGAAGTGCTTTACAATTTATGGTTGATTGATGCTGCATGTTGAGATTGATAGCTAATTCGATGGCTTAAATGTTGAATTTTGGAAGATTTGCTTGAATTGAGGTTTTGAATTTTAATTTGAGTCCTACCACACGGAGGGTGATTTGTGCGGATTTGTGGTTGCATATGAATGATCAAGGACTAGATTAAACTCCTTCATGTGATTGTAAATAGGGAGTTACTACTATATATCGGTAGGAATCCAAGAGTTTTTGATATTTCAAATTATGTAGATAAATAAGTTTAAAAAATTAATTCCAAATAAAAAAATTTAGATTCAAAATTAGTATAAGATAAATTAATTAAAAAGACTAATTCAGAAAGAAAAAAAAAATAATTAAAAGCCAATTTTCATAACAAATTTTGCTTATATGTAATAGGATTACAAAAGTTAAAAATAAAAGATAATAATACTATAAAAACATTAAAATAAAAAAGAGACATGATAAATAATACAATTGAAAAAATAATTTATACAATAAATTTAAAAAATTAAAACCAAAGAAAAATTAAAATGTATTAACAAAATATTAATATTAAACTATTTAATTATAATAGATGCTACAGTAAGATAAAACATTACAAAATATAAAAATAATAGAAGGATATAAATTTTTTATAAAGATAAATTATTAAAAATAATAAATTAAGATAAAAACAAAAACAAATAACTACAATTAAAAAAAAACATTGAACTGTTTAGATACCCCTCAATTATAATGGGTAAATTTTCCTTGTAAATAATTTTGATGGTTTAGGTTTGAGTTTTACATTAATCATGTTATAATATTTTTTGTGCCTTTTGTGTATTTTGAATTAATCATATATTCACAGTAAAAAAATAATCATATATTTAAATGTATATAATGATTTATATGAAAAGTACTACATTTACAAAATATTTATTAAATATCAAGGTTTTTAGCATTATCAAAATTAATTATATATAATATTCAATTAATTCAATAATTAATACTATATAAGAAATAAATGAATTTTTTTTATCTTTATAAATAATAAATATTTAATTCCATAAAAATAATATATATATATATATAAGTAAAAATATTCTTATTAATATATTTTATTTAATAATAACATTAAATTTCATCAAACTGCTTTTCCTAGACAGTTTTTGGTTCAATATTTATGTATTCTTACCTGAAATATACTAATAGAAGTTGCAATGCTAATAAATATTTGGTTAAATTTCGTAACACTTTTTTGGTTTCTATTTTTCCTTTGAGAACCTATATATACATAAACCAGATTCATTGACAGCCCAAGAAATTAAGGACTAACAGAAGTTGCAATAATGTCTTTGTTTAGCAAGAACGTTCTCTTATTCCTCACATTCATGTTGCTATCAGCTAGCAATGTTCTTGGAAAAGTACATGTGTCAGTTACTAATGATCTGCATGGAAAAGCTGAACTAGCCTTGCACTGCAAATCTAAAAACGATGATCTTGGAGTGCAGTTGCTCAAGTATGGTGAAACCTTTTCATGGAAATTTAATAAAAACTTTTTTGGTGGCACGCAATTCTACTGTTCCTTTCTATGGATTAAGAATGCTCCTTTACTTTGGT